GTCTCAATATAAAGAAAACAAAAATCCTCACAACTGGACCAATGAGCAGCATCACAATAAACGGAGAGAAAATTGAGGTTGTCAAAGAATTCATGTTGCTTGGTTCTACAATCAATGCCAATGGAAGCAGCAGTCAGGACATTAGACGACGTGTAGCATTGGGACAGTCAACCACGAAGGAACTGTTTCAAGTGCTGAGGAGCAAGGATGTTTCCTTGAGGACTAAGGTGTGCCTGACAGAAGCCATGATATTTCCAATTGCCTCATATGCAAGTGAAAACTGGACAATGAATAAGGAAGACCAAAAAAGAGTTGATGCTTTTGAGTTGTAGTGCTGGCAGAGAATGCTGAAAGTACCATGGACTGCTAAAAGAACTAACAGATCTGTCCTGGAGGAAGTGTACCCGAAATGCTCCTTGGAAGCGAGAATGGCCAGACTTCGTCTCACCTATTTTGGTCATGTTGTCAGAAGGGACCATTCCTTGGAGAAGGATGTCATGCTTGGTAGGGTGGAGGGTCGATGAAAGAGGGGGAGGCCTTCAATGAGATGAATTGACACAGTCGTTGCGATGATGGGCTCAAGTATAGCAGGGATCATGGAGCTGGCACGGGATCGGGCAGTGTTTTGTTCTGTTGTGCATGGGCTCGCTACGAGTCGGAAACAACTCGACAGCACCTAACAACAACAGTATCACTATGGAAGTAGATTGCCCAACCTTCCTTCCGAGGAGTGGCTGGTGGGTTTGTACCACCAGCCTTCTGGTAAGCAGTCAAGTGCCTTAGGCACTATGCTACCAGAGCTCCTGCAGCAGGGAGTATAAATACTCCAACATCTCTCTCCTGCCACCCTTTTCAGTGCTTTCTAGTCAGTGAAAACAATGAGGATCCAGAGGCAAGGAGTCCTGGGTAATGGCTTCTATGTAGTTCAGCTTCTCAGAGCACAGAACAGCATCATAGAGAATGGGAATGTATCTGAGGGAGCAAAGGGAGATAAACCAGTACAGTGGCCTTAGACAAGTCCCTTAATCTATTGGCAGTAGAGCCTAAGTTCCATGTGCCTGGCACCCAGCAAATGGAGCTGTAATAATGCTACTGCTGATAGTTCTCTGGAAGTATGGATTGTTTCTTTCTTGTTTGCTTAGCCTTTACTCCTTATCTTATTCTTTCTTCCTCTAGTTTACTATTTGGAAATGTAATTTTTACATCTTTATAGTATTTGAAATTTGAAATCAGATCAAAGAAACTTTGATGCAAACTTTCCTGACTGAAGCATGGTTGTCTCGTGTGTTTCTCTGTGGGTGTTTTGAGGTATTCAGCAGAGAGGCATTTCTGCCTCAATCTGGTGGTAGTCATTACTGGGCTGGTCAAACAGTTGACCTGAGAACAATTCCAGTGGGACTGGGGAGGAGAAGAGAGAAATCAAATTTGCAGCTAGAACTTCCATGGCACAATTTATTAAGGAATTAACCTCTAAAAAAAAAAAAAAAAAAATAGGGCTTGGAGTTGTACAAGAACTTTTTACATGCCCACATCCCTGACCTCCTCTCTTATTAGTCTCTTCCTTGTTCACTTTGCTCCCTCCCCCCAGTCGTCTCCTTGCAATACCCAGAATCTCCAGGTCTTTGCACTATTTATTCCCTCCTCTTGGTGTGATTTTCCTGTGGAAATAGTCATGAATAGTTCTCTCACCTTCTTCAAGTGTTGAACATACCTTACTTTCTCAGTGAGGCTTATCTTGACTTCCTTATTTAAAATTGCAAACCTATCCCAACCCCATCTCACCACTCCTTATCCCCTTACCCTGCTCCACTTTTTTAAATAGCGCTTACCCTTATAACATACTATATAATTTATTTATTTATTATATGCCTTGTTTATGTGTGGTGTTCCCCTCCTACTAGAATGCAGAAGGTAGCAGGGATTTTGTTTTCTACTAGAATATAGAGGAGATTTTGTTATCTATTTCGTTCACTAATATTTCCCAAGTGTTTAGAAGAGATCCTAACACATAGTTGATTCTCAATAAACAATAGATGAATGAATGATATGTGGGTAAAGGATCAATTCTGCTTTACAGAAAATTAGAAAAATCTAAAATATTTTATCCACTGGGATTCTCCCGTAATCTTAAATCAACAAATTACCTGGCCACTTCTCCCCCCTCCCCATATCTCCCCAGTGATCTCAGAGCTTTGGAGAAAAGACAAGTAGTTCATGCTTACAAAAGGGCCAGGAACCATTGTCTAGAGTATTCTGAAATAAGGCCCTTGTGCAGCAAGGGCAACCACACTCTTCGACACTGTTGTCATGGTGATCCCAGGTAGTCTTATCCATGGCAGAGAAATCTCTGCAAGACTGCCAATGTGGCTTATAGACCATCTGGAGAAACATCAGGCAGAAGGCAGGCATTTATTCAGAGGACTGGGGGTGACTCTTGAGGGTTTTGTTCTTCTCCACATGCGCTAGAGACAGGAAGAAAGAACGGCAGTGGGCTGCCAGCCTTGGAAGGCCTGCAGTCTTGTGCATTGTGGTAACGTGCACAGCCTGCTTGGTGGAATTGGCAAAATCCATCTCATACATTGCTGCACCTACACTACCAACACTTTACATTAAAAAAAGAACAAAAAACAGTGATTCTTATGGGAAATGTAAAGCTCAGAATTGAAGTGGTGTACAAAGATCCAAAGTTGTCTTTGTCTTATTAAACAAGGAGTCAGGGGACATAAACAGCAATGGATAAGGGGTAATGAATTATTTTCAAATATTGCCGACAGCAGTGGGTCAAATTAGAGAGTTACAATCATCAGATTATCTGAAGCTACCACCTCTGTGCAATTGAAAAACATCATTGAAGGGATGAATCTGAAATTAAAACAATGACTTCTAGCATCTTTGCTGCTTCAAAGCAGAAAAACCACCCAACGTTCTGTTGCTAAGAAATTGATGGGTCATTTTTAAAAATAGCTAGATTAAGATAGGCATGCAAAACACTGATTAAGTGGGCCATAAAAGTAATTTGCCTTTTAGTTCAGGTGGCCTGTCTTTCCAGCATAGTTCTGAAAACAGACATTTTTGTGCTAATGAGATATGTGTTTCTCAAGCAACGACAAAATATCTCCCCTAATGGAAGTTTGTTTTATTTCTTCTCTTTCTGTCCATCTGTCTGTCCGTGTGTGTGCCTCTCGGACTCTTCTTCCTTCTGTGGGACGACAGAACCATCTGCCGCAGAATCCCAGGAGAAATGCAGCATCTCCGAGGATGAGTTGATCACTGCTATTAAAGAAGCAAAGGGGTTATCGTATGAAACCACAGAGAGCCCACGCCCCGTGGGCCAGGTGGCCGACAGGCCTGGAGCCAAGGCCAGGTCCGGGCTGCCGACCATCCCCAGCCCCCTGGACCATGAGGCCAGCAGCGCGGAGTCAGGAGACTCGGAGATTGAGCTGGTGTCAGAGGACCCGTTGGCCGCGGAGGATGCACTGCACTCAGGCTACGTGACCTTTGGCCACGTGGGCGGCCCGCCACCCTCGCCTGCCTCGCCGTCCATCCAGTACAGCATCCTCAGGGAGGAACGGGAGGCCGAGCTGGACAGCGAGCTTATCATCGAGTCGTGCGACGCCTCCTCGGCCTCGGAGGAGAGCCCCAAGCGGGAGCAAGACTCGCCCCCGATGAAGCCAGGAGCCCTGGACGCCATCCGGGAGGAAACAGGCGTCCGAGCCGAGGAGCGCGCGCCGAGCCGGCGGGGCCAGGCCGAGCCCGACCCCTTCCTCAAGTACTCCCCGGCTGCCCCCGATACGGGCCCCGAGCTGCCGTCCGGAGACCTAGCCCCGGCTCCCGGGGGTCCCACGTCGCAGCGGAGACCTGCGGAAGCAGCGAGTTCCAGTCCGTGTCCTGCAGCCGCAAAGGGCCCTGGGCCGCGAGGGCCGGGCACAGCGCCCCCTCTGCTGTTTCTGAACAAGCAGAAAGGTAATGTGCAAATTTTCCGGACTGAAGCGTGGTTGTCTCATGTGTGTTTCTCCCTGGGTGTTCTGAGGTATTAAGCAGAGGGGCAGTTCTGCCTCAGTCTGGTGGTAGTCATCACTAGGCTGGTCAGACAATTGACCGGAGAACAATTCCAGCGGGGCTGGGGAGGAGAAGAGAGAATTCAGATTTGCAGCTGGAATTTCCGTGGCAGAACCACGTGCCCCTAGCAGCTCTGGGCCGTCAGAACCGAAGGCTCCATAATAATGAGCGGTTTGTGTGCACTCCCAGAGTTCCGGAGTGGAGTGAAGGCGACCTCCCTTTCACTCCTGGGCTGGGCTTGCTCACTTGAAAAAGGATGTTTTTATTGTCCCAACTCATTTCCAGTTTCCTACACTCCCACTGGTAACATAGTGGCTAAGACACTTGCCTGCTAACCAGACGGCTGGCGGTTCAAACCCACCAACCACTCCTAGGAAGGAAGGTTGGGCAATCCTACTTCTGTAGTGATACTGCCTCGGAAACCCAAGGAGGTGTCGCTATGAGTCGGGTTTGACTCGATGGCACATAACAACAACAACAACCCTCCCATAATAATGAGAGTGGGTTATAATATTCTCATTAGGTGCTAGAACCCATCATTCTTAGCATGAACCATTTTGCCAGCCAAGCATATTTCTTAAATGGGTCAAATAGAGTTAACTGAGCAGCAAGCAATTTGGACCTTGAGAAGATGTTCTTGTTGGTTTTATTTATTTTTTTGACCAACTAGTCAAAGAAGACATGGCCCAAAACTGGTCCCAGAGTTTCCCTTTTCCCTAAGGGAGACCCCAGGTTGCTTAGCAAGTTTTAGAGTAGTTTGTAACTTAAAAAGGTTTTACTGTGATGATTGTGTTCTTCCTATGAGAATCTTTAAAACAGACCTTAAAAGCATAGCTTATTTAAGTCCCCTTTCACCCATCCCCTCTGCTTTCTGCTTCTTTAGAAATATTTTGCCTTTTGGGGATAAATTATTTCAAGGGTACACCCTCCTTCCTGTGCGTATGCTAACTTCAGCGATGTTAGTAGCAATTAAAGTGCTTCATATAAAAATAGGGGATGAAATCGTTCTCAATATAGATCAGAAGCTAGCTTCTAAATTCTTTAAATTTAGTGCATTGGAAGGAGGGAACCCAAAGGAATGTAATAAAAAGATAATCCTGCTGCATTGTTGCTGGCTGATTTTGACAGGTAGCTTTGTGTTTGGGCCAAGCGAATGGATATTTCCCAAATAACTCTCCTAAGGGTTTAAAATTCATTTAATGTATGTGATTGGGAGAATATTTGACAGAGATTTAACACTAGGCGTGGCTGGTGAGTGTATTTTTGGGGGTGACTACTAAAACCAATTTGGATTCTTTCGTAACCCCTCTCAATGTAGTGGGAAAGGACCCCAAAACTTGCAGGGAGCCAAGAGCAACAGCACTAGCATGAACAACCTGCTGTCCCCTGCTGGTCCTGAAGAATCCAAGCTTGATTCATGCCAAGTGTGTGTTTAAATCACTTACAGGCATGTGTCTCCATACTTGTCCCAACAAGTATTCCTGAAATAATCACTGTGTGCACTGTGCTGTTTGAACATATTTATTCTCAAAAATAAATAAATCTGAGGGTTAAAGAGAAAATGGAATGTTGCAGGCACATTTCCCCCTTAGTACATTTTAGAGACAAGTACAACAGCTGGGACTGACTGAATAAATGTCTGATGAAGAACTTTTTGTTGTTGGTATGTGCCGTCAAGTCAGCCCTGACTCATAATGACCCCTCCTTGGGTTTCCAAGGCAGTATCACTACGGAAGTAGATTGCCCAGCCTTCTTTCTGAGGAGTGGCTGGTGGGTTTGAACCTCCAGGCTTCTGGTTAGCAGTCAAGTGCCTTAGGCACTATGCTATCAGAGCTCCATCAAATGCCTTAGGCACTATGTTACCAGCGCTCAACAGCAGCTGTGGATGCAAAGGCTTCAGAACATCTTTTATGGCCATTCTGGCATCATTCAAATCTCTGTGCAAGTTGCCCCATACAGCTTGGACCCTCTACTGCCAAATTTAGAAGTTAGGAGAGAGCAATAGTCTTTTGAAAAGACACATGCCAGGGTGACTAACCTCTGCTCTGTTGTGCACTTAGGGGTCCTTTGAAATCCAGTCTCCCTTTGAAACTCACTGTTTAGCAGCATTATCTGTGAAGAGAGTTTAAAAGGCCTTTGGGGGCAGCTAGACACTGGAGGTCCTAGGTGGATGACTCAGCACTGCTAGAAGGTTATTTGAGCTCTGAGGTTCCTTCTGGCCTCACCTGCTCCATCTCAGCAGGCGAGAGAGGAACTGTGTTGCCTGGCCTCCCTCAGGCTGTTCTTAATCACTGTCAGTGGACAGCAGGACTGTGCGAATGTCAAGCATGTCTCCCCTGGCAGTGAGGTCAGGGCAACGCCTGTGGTTCCTGCTCTTGTCTGCTTAAGCCTCTGGCAGTATAAATGTGTTTAGGTTTATGCGTTCAGAAGTATGCTCATCCTTTTGGCTCTGAGACGTCCTACTGATGCTGGGCTTAATTTCAGAAGGTTCCAGAGATACTTAGAATAAGTTTTGGCAAATAATTGATGGCTTCATAAGATGCTCTGTTAAGGAGCATCACATTTACTGGTGAATACTTCCCAACAAGGTCTATTTTTGGAGCTTTTTCCCTATAGAGACCTCTCCTGTTGCTACATTGGAGATAAAACATGGTTGTTCTTAATTTTCTAGTTTTCCTCCTCCTGAGCTGCTTCTTGTATGTCTTCTCCCCTACATCATCCAGGACAGTTTGTTATGAACATTACACTCCAAAGGGGTAGATAAATTTTTATTTCTGGAAGATTAGTCCTAACTGTTGGAGTCCCTAGGTGGTCCAAACAGTTAACATGCTTGGTTAGTTTGAGTGCACCGAGACGTGCCTCGGAAGAGAGACCTGGCAGTTTACTTCTGAAAAGTCAGCCGTTGAAATGCTATGGAGCAAAATTCTCCTCTGATACACATGGCAACTCAAAGGCAACTTGTTTGGTTTTTAGTTTTAACTAGGAATATGTGAACGAAAAGCCAATAAACTCTAAATGGAAGGAACAGCTGAATGAAAAGCCAATAAAAATTCTTAATAAAACACTAACACTCAGCATGACTCCTCAGGATGGGTATGTGATATTTCCCAGGCCTATTTGATTGAAGATTCCATTTTACTAAAGCATGTCCATTATCTGGCAAATACACTTTGGGAAATTGTTGTCTCTTCCAACTCACTTCCATTCCCTACCTTCTGATTACTTTACATGGCAACTCAGGAATACCTTGAATCAGCCACTTCAGTAATATGTAGAGGTATGTTAGATGTAGAGAATCTCAGGTTCCATCCCAGACCAACTGACCCAGAATCTACATTTTAACAAGATCCCCTGGGTATTTCAATATACAGCAGCTTGAGAAGCATTGTTATAGGTGATGGCAGTCAGCTCTCACACTCATGCACGGAACCATCCTGATAAAGGTCACTCACGATTCTTTCTCACCAAACAAAATTTTCTTGTCTTCTCTGGTAATTTAATATGATACTGCTTACCAGCCCTTTAAACATTAGTAAGAAAGTAATACCTGTTCATGATAATAAATTCAAACTGTACAAAATGGTATAAAAGAAAAAGTTAAAGTTTCCCTATTCCTAATTCCCAGAGATAACTACAAAGGTGGTTGTTGTTGTTGTATGTTATTCTTTGGGATGTATCCTTTCAGAAATCTTTTTTTAAGTGTTGGAGCATATATAATTTTTTATTGCACAAGTAATATATTGAACACACTTATTTTGCAACTTAATTTCATTTAACAGTAAAATGGGAGACAATATGAGTTCACATGAAAATGGTTCACTTCTCAGAACTTCCTCCTCCCTTATTTCCCTGGTGTATCCCCTTCCTGGTGCTCCTCTTACTCACTAACCTCTTTGTGATTTCTTTTGCTGCCTCTCTTCTAGCTTCTCTGTCCTTGTCTTTCTTCACTTCTCATATCCACGTTCTTAGGGCTGTTCTCACCCACTCAGGCTTTCAGCCACTGCATTATGTGTGGCACCTCCCAGACCTCTCACTTTGGAGCAGTGCTTCTTCTAGGCTCCAAGCCTGTGTTTCCCACTGTTCAGTGGACATCCCACAGATTTCCCAAATATAGTATGTACAGGTTATTTGTCAAAACCTGCTCCTTTCTTTGTTCAGAGTGAATGGCACGTCCTGCAATCAGTGGTGTCACTTGGGTTGGTGTCTCCCAGTTTGGTTTCACACCCCTCATGGACCTCCTTCCATACCAGACTATACAGAATCCTTAGTAATGTTTATTATCAGTTTAATCATAGACTAATATATGATAAATATAGTTATAAATTGCTTAAATAATATTTCTTAGATTATATGAACACTCACAACACAATTGTTATGTAAAATCTTTCTGCATTAAATTACAACATTATTAGTAACTGAAAAGAAGCTTTTTTTAATTACTATTTCATTCTCAAAAAAATTGTTGATATAGGTTCACAAATACTAATTACCACCATACTGTAGCTAAAACATTAGAACATTAGACAAAATAAGTCTAAAACAAAATAAGTCTAAACATACTGGCAGCAATGAAAACAATAGCACATGCTTGTAAACCACGTGATTTGAAGTGTCGTTGTAATTGGGTAATAATGACAGCTCTGACCACAGCACATCAGAAGGTTCCAAGGGTAAATTAATGTCGAGTTTTAGTCTTGATACATGTAAGCTGGGCTTACAAAAAAAATATTTTTGTTCTTATAACTAACTACAGGAATTGTTTTATAAAAAAATAATAAATTTCTGTTGAAACACTGCACAAAAATTTTGTCATCAGTTATTTTGGAATTACCCCTCAGAGAGTTACCTTGTGTGGTCCACAACCCCTGGACCTACGCTGCCTCCACCAGTCACAAAAGCGAGAGACCTAGAAGTCAGTTTAGCTTATTTTTTTTCCGTAGTGTCTGCCCCATTTGGTGGATCACCAAGTTCTATATTCTCTTCTTCCTTAACATATCTTAAATCTGTCTTATTTGTCTTCATTTCCAGAGCTTAATTTTAGTCAACTATTTTCAGTTTACAAGAGTCCTTTGGCCGGTGACTCAAACTACCTGACTGCCTCCACAGTGCTTCTAGTCATCTCTCTAAATGAACGTGAGCTTTAAACTCTTTAGTGCCATAAAAATAAATCGCAAACTCCTTAGCATGATGGATAATAACTTGCAAGATCTTTTCTTTCCCTCACCACCTGATCCTTTGCTTTGCCTCACCTTCTAACCTTTGATCTAGCCAAGTCAAATGACTGGAGTTCCTGAGTGGTGGAAAGGTTGGAGGTTCAGACCCACCTAGAGTGTCAGAAGACAGGCTTTGTCTTTGCTTCTGAAACTTCACAGCCTTGCAAAGCCAAAGGAGCAGTTCTACTCTGCAGAGATGAGTTGGAAACAACTTTTTGGCCACTAAAAACAGCCTTTGGAAGGAAGGTTGGGCAATCTACTTCCGTAGTGATACCGCCTCGGAAACCCAAGGAGGGGTTGCTATGAGTTGGCTCCGACTCGACGGCACATAACAACAACAACAACAAAACAGCCTTTGCATCTCAAGTTGCTCTGCCTCCATATCTGTTCTCCCACTGCCCCCTCCTCCTCCATCCCCACTCTGGTTGCTCAGACTCTTCGGCGATGCGCCATTAGCTTCATGGGACTGATCCATTATGCTGTGCTTTACACATTCTCTCTAGCACCTCTCACCACCATGGTAGTTTTTGTTAGGTACTAGGACAATGCTATTTATAAAACCAGGGACAGAGCTTCACCTTCAATACTTAGCTTTTGGTTTCATTTTTTTGTATTAACATATTAAACAGTATAATGTTAAGTACACACACACGCAATTCTGTTAGCTTCAAGGGACATGGTTTTGTAGGAATGCTTTTTGCCTTGTCCTTGTGGATGTATGCTCATGTAAGCCCTCTTGAAACTACTAGTCCACATCTCTGAGGCACAACCTGCTTCTGGGGAGGTGGGCTACTGTTTTTGGTGAAATCCTAACTACATACACTACAGTGCCTTGATCTCACTAGCACCAAGCTCAGATATTCCTCACACTTTAGGAATGTGCTTTTTAGATTTGGAAAGAAAAAATACATATATATTTAAAAAAAAAACATTTTTATCATAATTTTACCCACAAAGTCCACTTTTGGTCGTGGTGTTGTTTGTTGTTACGTGCTGTCAAGTTGGATGTATATACAAAACCAAAACAAATTTACAAATTTTATACAAATAAAATTACAAAGCTAATAAGGTTTAAATTGACACCATTTAATTCAAAATGATAATTTTGCTGAATTAAGTTCTTCTTTTGAGGTAAAAATGGTGTCAACTATTAAGTTGTGGTGTTTTTGAGCCTCTGGATACTAGGCCAAGACTCCGTTCTCACTTTTCAAACTATTTTGGAAAACATTGCTTCGTCCAGCATGCAGGTATGTCATTCAGCCTTCATTTTGGTTTGAACATTCCAATCAGTCTTGATCTGAGTAAAAGACTCATTAGCCCAAGACGAAGTTAAAAATACTTTGTGCCAAACTGATTCTAAACTGTTCAGTGCAGGCCTTGAGATAGTGTTTGGTTATAAAATTGTCATCCAAATTAATATTTGAAAAATTATTAAAATAGAAGTACCAAATGTAAAAAATAGAAAATGTAAAAACAAAAACAACCCCCGAGAATGTGTCCAGAGACCCCTGTTTGAGAAATACTGCTTTCAACCAGTAATTCCCACAGCATTGCTTGTGTACCACATACTTCAGAACCTTCTGGAGTCCTTGTTAAAAGTGCAGGTTTCTGCTCTACCCCACCTCAGAACTATGGAGTCACATGGGCCACAACATAGAGCTATGCTTTTAATAAGCACACTGAAGCTTGAAAAGTTTGGTTGTAAGCCAGGTGAGCTAAGCAGCCCAGTCTTGTAGTATAAGTTGTTGTTGTTATGTACCATCGAGTCAGACCTGACACATAGCGACCCGTCCTTGGGTTCCCAAGGCGGTATCACTATGGAAAGAGATTGCCCAACCTTCCTTCTGTTGTAGTATGTATATATGTATAAAAGTCTTGGTGAGAACACCCCCAGGTATATTGTTGTTGTTAGTGACCATCTAGTGGGCTCTGAATCATGATGACCTGTTGTGTAATGGAATGAAACACTGCCTGGTCCTGTAGTGTCTCCATGATCCTTGGTATGTTTGAGTCCATTGTTGTGTTTGCTGTTCCTTGTGTAAGGCCTTCCAACCCAGGGTGTTCATCTTCCAGCACTAATCAAGCATTATTTTTTGTAATCTGGTAATCCATAAAGTTTTCATCAGCTCATTTTTGGTAGTAGATAGCCAGGATTTTCTTCCTCCTAGTTTGCCTTAGCTTGGAAGCTCTGCTGAAACCTGTCCACCATAGGTGACCCTCCTGCTATTTGAAATAGCCATGGCATAGCTTCTAGAATTAAAACAACACACAAGCACCACAGTAGAACAGACTGACAGATGGGTGGTGGCCCTAGGTGGATAGTGTTTTGTAATTACAGGAATTCAGGGGCACTCAGCTGTTGCAGTTTCTTCTGGTTAGAGCGGTACCTGTCCTGTGCCCTGGGAGTCAGATCTTTGGCAGCCTCCCCTCTATGGACACCAGCTGTAGCAGCCTGAGTTTGGAGGGTTCAGCATCTCGTGGAAGGGAAAATCCTATCTCTTCCTTAGCAGGAGTGACTTGCAGTAAGATTGCCAAAGAGAGGGCTTCTTAAATAGACCAGATTTTTCATCTTCCAAATACTTACGATGTTTATTGTTACTTATTTATTAGTATACTAGATATTGCTTCTGTCCTAAAATATTTGAGAGAGAACCAAAGTAAGTACAACCCATTTACCTTTCTTCTTATAATTAAAAAAAAAAAAAAAATTGTACTACTGTAGTCCATGAGACTGAATATATAAAACAGGCTGTAAGGATTCCTTTCATGGTACAAATTTCTGAATCAGCCTGAGGCCTTATGTCTCTCTTTGTGTAACTCTGCATCAGTGCCAGCTTTCAACAACATGGAAAAATGTCTGCTGGATAAAGTCTGGCTCCTGTGTGGACACCCAAAAAAACCCAAACTCATTGATGTTGAGTCGGTTCCTACTCATAGCAATCCCTCTTTGGGTTTCTGAGGCGGTATCACTATGGGAGTAGATTGCCCAACCTTCCTTCCGAGGAACAGCTGGTGGTTTGAACCACCAGCTTTCTGGTTAGCAGTCAAATGCCTTAGGCATTACACCACCAGAGCTCCCTGTGTGGACATATGCCATGTAAATACTTAGATGGAGACATTGAGTCTTCCATGTTAGATTATTCAAAGCAACTAAGCTGCTTTTGTGAGACTTTAACTACTGATGAAGGTGTTCTTTTGGTGTAGGCACCGAAGGAATGAGTGGCCAGTAGCCGGCTCAACTCACTGGCTTTCCCTTCTGAAGCAGTCACAGGGTTAGCGTTGTTACAGATTGCATATTGATCTGTGCTTTTACATGCTGGCTTCAGAAGCAAAGGGGAGGTTTCCTTCTCAGCATTGCTAAGGTACTCCAAATCTTGGTGGCCCCAAATCCAAAACCGATTGTTACCGATTCTTACTCATAGCAACCCTGTAGGACAGAGTAGAACCACCCCATAAGATTTCCAAGGCTGTAAATCTTTAGAGAAGCAGACTGCCACATCTTTCTCCCACAGAGCAGCTGATGGGTTGAAACCACCAACCTTTTGAATAACAGCTGAATGGTTAACCACTTCACCACCAAGGCTCCTTGGTGGCCCCCAATACTTTTTATTTCTAGAGACAGATATCCTTAACACTTCATCCTCAGGGTGTGTCTAAAGATCCAGAATGGTTATTATAGCTCTGTAACAGTTTAAAGCTAGTTCTTTGGTACAAAATAAACTCCAACTCTGTTCTGGTTACCTAGTGACACTCTGACAAAAATATACCACAAATGGGATGGCCTTAACAAACAGGAGTTTATTCTCTTACAGTTCGGGAGGCTTTAAGGCCGAGTTCAAAGTGCCAGACTCCAGGGGCTGTATGAAAGCCCCTTGACCTTGGGCTTCAGCTCTGTCTCTTGCTCCTGGCCCATTGAAGCTAGAGGCATCTCTTCACTCAGGCAGCTACTGGCTGCTGAGGCTAACAAACCCAAGGTCAAAAAATAAAATGGCACAGTCCCAATATTACCAAAACACATGGCAGGCCATTAATTCAAGTCCATTGAAAGTCCCAGTGTCATCAGAGCATGGTAGGGTGCTGAACAATGACACAGCTACATGCAGGGTTCAAGCGTGCCATAAGCTAGAGACCATTCCCAAAGCTGTTTCTTATATATGGGAAGCAGACCACATCCCTAAGGCAGTTACTCAGCTAGTTGCTTGTGGTAGGTCCCACCATGGAGTTGATTGCCAGTCTCATCATGAGGAATAACTATCACCAGCTGCCCAGCCACTCCAACCAGGCCCAGCCAAGTTGACACACAAACTTAACCATCACAAGCTCCCTAATAAATTTGGCCAAGGCATAGATTGGGTTATAGATTAGCTCCTAAAAAAAATGAATTCAAGTTAACCTTCAACTTGGCTTGGTCATATTGTTCACACTTGGCAAACATCATGTTGCCTCCAAGAAATAATGGTCCTGTTATGGTGATCCTGATTTCTTCCTGAGTCCCTTTATCTTTCTCACATAAATCATCCTCATTTACTGATGTGATATTGGAACTTGGAGGATATAATTCATGTCCTCATAATTCTGAGAGACAAGATTGACTCCAGGGTGTTCTCTACTCCTTGCAAGTGCTAACTTCACTGATATCTAACTTCCAGATGGGACACTCAGATTTTGTCTTTGTACTTCTGGATTCTATCTTTATGACTTTGCAAGATAGAATGACATAAATTTCACCTAAGGTTATGCCAGCCCAGCCAAAGCGAGACTTTACCAGCTCATTCATTCATCCTTTCTTATCTTCAACTCATGTTGTTGTTGTTAGGTGCCATCGGGTCATTTCCAACTCACAGCAACCCTGTGCACAGCAGAAAGAAACACCGCCTGATCCTGTGCCAACTCCATGGTCCTTGCTATACTTGAGCCCGTCGTTG